CACAGTGACATACTGGATAGAGACAAGAAAAGAGTCATTATATTGTTACACAATCAACTAAAACGGATCAATAGAAACTTACATGGTCAAATAAATTTACAATTCTTTGTTGGAAGAAGAGTCAAAATTGATTGAGGAGCACTTCGATGTCCGCGAAATCATGTCAGTGAATAAGTAAAAATTGATATAACACTGACAAGAACCGAACTAGTACTGACGAGAGGTCGCGTTGAACTGACAATAAATAAAATGTAAATTCACCTATACACAGAAAATATAAATCCATATTGACACTGATAAAGTCACAAGTTTTCGAGGACTTTATCGTAAACTGGATTTAAGTTTTCAGTGTCTCGCTTTAAATTAATAGTATTTCTATGTTTCTTAAAAAGACCAATTCAGCAACTTCATGTTTGATCTTATAATTATATGTTTCTCATTGTGCAGTATTTCAGGTTCTAACCAATTGAAATCGTGTTCATAATTAAGACGATGTTTGCTAACAACCGATAAGTTGCTTTCGTGTTTCTTGATATCGTTGCAAGTTTTAGTTTTAGTTGATTGTGTAACAATATAATAACTTTTTTCTTGTCTCTATCCAGTCTGTCACTGTGTGTAATGGCATTGGCCAATAGATTGACTGGCGATACGATAACTGTTATTCAGGTATGAATTTTTGGTTGTTTTACGATAGTTTTTAGCATAGTTTGGCTGTAATATGTAATTTGTGATTTCAGATCACTTGATAAGGGCCCAAATCAGGGGCCGAAACGTTGTGATCGGTTTTTAAATAAAGACAATTGGCTAGTGTAGGTCGTTAAATTTTGTGAATTTTTGTTTGAAATTGCTGGCGATATACAATTACCACTCTTGTTTATACGTATATACCTATAGATATAATATCAATATGAAATTTTTTCATTTTCTGAATATAAATATATAAATATATTATCAATATATTATATATATATTTATTTAAGACACTTCGCTGATGTCGACGAATTAATGTCGCAATTTGGATCGATCTCTTTCGTATACGTTGGACAAGTCGTATAGCAGAGGTGCAAACCTTAGGGCCGAGCGCCATCAAGGTGTTACACTCGGTGCTCACTTACACACTAGCGCAACCGTGTCCGTGTGCTGCGTAGAGCACTCTTTCGCACGGTTGCGCTTGTGTGTGTGAGCACCGAGTGTAACAACATCTTGATGGCGCTCGGCCCCAAAATTTGCCCAAATTACCCCAAAA